GGTCACTCATCACCTGGCTGTCACCAGCTTCGTCGCTTTTCACATCCGAGGTCAACCCTGGCTTGGAGGGAATTGAGGCCCAGAGGAAAGAAGGCGCCTAGCCAAGGTCACACTGGCGGGGGCGTCAGACCCCACCTTGGGCCTCCCGAATCCCAGTCCACTGCGCTTCCCGCTACTCCAGTCTCAGCGAAGCCGGTTCCCCTACACTTTTTCGAAACCTCTCCACCAGGTTCTTGCTGCTCCTGATAAACACAGCCTTCCTTTCCCATAGACTCCTGCCTTCACGCCTCCTGGTTGCAGTGGAATGGTTCTTACGACCACTGGGTTGTTACGAGTTTTGGTAGAGCAGGTGTTTTTGCAAGGGGAGGGCTGTGCGAGTGAGAGGGGAAGATGCGGGGAGGCGGGGGCGGCGGCCCAGCCGCGGATGGATATTGACCACCTGTTCCGTGCCGGCAGTCTGGAGGTGCATTTTAGTTCACTTTCCCGGGATATAGGGTAGGGCAGAAGTTATTTGCAAGTTTCTGTGCGTTCACCGTACTAAGTCTCAATTACAGCAGTATCAGTCACCCTCCTAAAAAGATAACGCCCTTCCTAGTATTGGCTGCATTCGTTTTTTTTTTTCTTTTCTTTTTTTTTGACTTGGAGTTTTGCTCTTGTCGCCCAAGCTGGAGTTCTATGGCGCGGTCTCGGCTCACTGCAGCCTCCTTCTCCTGGGTTCAAGCGGTTCTCCTGCCTCAACCTCCCCAGCAGCTGGGATTACAGGGGCCCCTCACCATGCCCGGGTAATTTTTGTATTTTTAGTAGAGACAGGGTTTCACCATGTTGGCCAGACTGGTCTCGAACTCCAGACCTCAGACCGTCCACCCGCCTAGGCCTCCCTAACTGCTGGGATTAGAGATGTGAGCCACCACGCAGGCCTATGTTAGTATTTACATGGAATTTCCATCACCTTAAGGGAACCCTGACTTTGGAGTCCGAGGTACCTCAATTTCAGCCCCGTGTTGCTGCTGGCGGTATAATATTGTGCCAGTGAGTTGGCCTTTATGTGTTTGAATTTCCTCACCTCCGTAATTGGGATGCCGACACCTCCCCTTTAGGGTAGTAGTGAAGATTAAGTGAGATAATGGATGTAGATTGCTAAGGAGGTGTTTCCTAAGTAGTGGCTGTTATTTTTGCCTGTATCCTCAGCCTTCACTTTACTGATCTAAAATAGATTTGTGCTATTTTTAACCCATTGGGTTGTCCCTACTGTTGTTAACCTAGTTTTTTCCCCCCTCACTCCACTAGTTATCGACTGAACAAATCAACTTATTAGACAAAAATAGTTGTCTACTCCGTGTCAAAACAGTCGTCATGTTTTAACAAATAATTTTGGATATTACGTACTTCATATGTAGAAAACCAAGTCTAGAGACCTTAGGTATATTTAACCTAAATTTTGGTGAAAGGTCCTAGACGCAGCCATGGTTGAAACTAAATGAAACCTCTGTCCCTGGTGTCGCTTAGTAACTGTCTAACCAGAAGCGGCCACTGCAGATTAAGCAGAAAACACGAAGTGTAACATGACGTTCTAGTTCAGCACTTCCTCGTTGGTTGGGTGGAAATAGCAGACCCTCCACACCATAAGACAGGGTGAGGGAGAAAAGAAATATGCCCCAGAGATTCTGCAATCCTTGCATCCTTTAGGGCCTCAATCTTATACTTTACAGATGTGTTTCTCACATGAGACCCTACAAAGTCTCTTCTGGCCTAAAATTCACAGTAACAGAGAGACTTGAATTCTCCTCCCTGAAACACAGCTAGAACCGTCTCATCACCCTCATTCCACAACTGTGGGTACTGGGGAGGTCATCATTCCTTGTAGTCACCGTGTGGCAGAGCCTGGCCTCAGGCTGAGTGAGGCAAAAACAGGTTCTTTTTGGATAATGGGTGGTATATGGGATGGAGACATTGATACTGAAAATCTAAAAGATGCCAAATTCCTTTTCTGAAAGAAGCCTCCTCCTCCCATCTGGATGTTTCTTTTCTTTTCCTTTTTTGTTTTTTAAATGGAGTTGTGCTCTTTGCCCAGGCTGGAGTGCAGTGGTATAATCTCAGCTCACTGCAATCTCTGCCTCCCGGGTTCAAGTGATTCTCCTGCCTCAGCCTCCCGAGTAGCTGGAAATACAGGTATCAACCACCATGCCCAGCTACTTTTTTCTATTTTTAGTAGAGACGGGTTTCATCATGTTGGCTAGGCTGGTCTTGAACTCCTGACCTCAGGTGATCGACCCACCTTGGCCTCCCAATGTGCTGGGGTTATAGGCATGAGCCACCGTGCCCGGATTGGGTGGTTTTTTTTCATTTGTCTTTATGACCCCTTCCAGTCATAGAACTATGTGTGGAGTTATTTTTTCAATGGGAATAGTAAGGGAAGGAGTTTTGCATTGCATATAACACTTTAAAACAAAAAATGCCATATAAGTGCAATTGTGACATGGTGGAAGGAGCATGACTTTAGGGTTCAAATGTGGATTTGGATCTTGGATGATTCATTCAGCAGCTATGAACTGAGTACCTGCTGTTTGGTGAGCACTGGGTGAATATAGGCAGATAAAGTGGATCTACCCTCACCTCATGGGGAGAGTCGGAGGGAGTGGAAGGAAGAGACCACTTTGAGAACTCTCCTCACCGGCTCTGTGACCCTCCAAGTTCCGTAAACTCTCTGTGCCTCAGATTTCTCCTCAAAGAAGTAGTCACACCTACCATGCTGGGTTGTGAAGAGAAAAATCGATCACTTTTATTTTATTTTATTTTATTTTATTTTATTTTATTTATTTTTTGAGATGAAGCCTCGCTCTTCGCCCAGGCTGGAGTGC